CACTTCCTAGCTACATGTCAACGGGCAGCATGCCACACCTCCTGTGCTTCCGTTTACCCATCTGCAAAATGGGGCTGTGTTGCACCTAACCCACAGGGGATACAATAAGTGATGCAAAGCTCTTAGAACAGTGCTTGGTGCCTGGGTCAGGGATGTAAAACCCCTGGTGACCCTGATGAGTTTGCACAGGGGAGTGGGTGCCCTGCAGGGAGCTCCTGACCTCAGCCTATCACGGAGGGCAGACTGCCCGTGAGCACATGCACCAGGTGATCCTCCCAGCTTCGTGGTGGGTGTGACTGTCCCCATTTCACACACGAGTAAACGAAGGCTCACCATTGTGACCGGGCTCACAGTAGATGTCCCATATCGAATGGGAGAAAAGTGTAGCACAAAAGCTTACATTCTTACAAAAAGACCAGACTAACTGGACCAGCTGAGACCAGAGGACTCCCTGAGACGATTGCTGTGAGACAGTCTTTAAACCTTAAACCATAACTATCCCCTGGGATCGCCTTTTAGTGAAAGAGCAGAGTGACATGCAAAGGATATTACCTGTGAGTGCAGTGCTCCATTAAACAACCATCTGGATGAGACCAAAAGGTCAGCAATTCCTCCAAAGCAAAGATGAGAAGATAAGGGGGCAGGGAAACTAGAGTAATGGAAATGGGGCAACCAGAATGCAATGAAAGGGAATGTTGACACATTGTGAAAAATGTAACTAATGTCACTGAACAATATGTATGGAAGCTGTCAAGTGGTAACCTAACTTGCTGTGTAAACTTTCACCAAAAAAGTGATAAAATATTAAGAAAAAGAAAAAAAAAGTAAAGCCTCATGGAGGTTTAGGAAAAGCTACATGACCAACTGTCCTGAATTGCCCTGGAATGAGGGGTTTCCTGGAGCACGGGAATATCAATGCTAAAACCAGAGCATTCCCAGCCACAATGGGACCCTACTAGGAAGTGACAAAGCTGAGGTGTGAGACGCAGGCCTGCCTGGTGGCCCAGCACGAGCTGTGTCTACTCTACCCACCTCTAATGGAGGGAGAGCTTGGGGAGCTCTGAAGCCCAGCCACGGCCGGATCCCGTGCGCTCTGTTCATCTGAAAGTGGGAAGCTGAGCCCTGTCAGCTAACGAGAGGGAGGAGGAAGGCCCAGAAACCAGGAGGGCTGGGAATTAAAGGACTGTCCGTTAGCCGTGCACTGTAGGAAAGAACATCATTTTCAAAACGTTTTTTTAAACTTTTTGCATGGGGGAGTTTGGACACTCAAGTAAATTTATATGCAAAGCCGGAACAGTGATACCATTTCAGTTTGGGGTGCTTTTCTTTCATACAAAAACTATTGAAGAATGCCATTACTTCTGTTCTTTCCATTTGTCTTTTAAACGAGTATCAGGTGCCTTGGGGAAACGGACACAGTACCTGCCGGCTGAAAGGCAAAACATCGGTCCACAGTGCCTGCTTCATTCCTCCGTCACGGGCATTTCAATGCTGCCTCTTTTCCTGCCATCTCAGAATTATAAGGCTGGCAGAGGACTGCGTTCGTTCTGACAACGGAAACGGCCCGTTGTTCTTGTGGGCAGGGCCTTGGCGGCCACCAGTCATTCAAGTCCTGGTCTCGGGAGGCGGTCCCCAATGCCTCCAGAAACAGAGGAGGAGGCCTCTGGACCCCTACACCTCTGAGCTTACAAGACCCATCACACCACATGGTCTTCGGTATGGCCCAGGCTGAATGCCCCTCAAAGACAGGACAGGTCTTGCCTACAGCAGTATCTCCAGCATTTTCTACAATGCTGCACACTTCCAGCATTCAACCTGATAAGTCAGAGTCAAGGACAGTCACAGGCCTCCTTTTTACTGAAGGGTGAGGGTACTGCGATGAAAAGGTGTGCAGGCCCGTGCGTCACTGGTTCTTGTGCTCTTTGCATCTCTCCTAAAGTCTCTCTTGTTTGAGATGAGCGCAGCTACACCACTTGTCTTTTGCCATGTGCCTGTATTCATTTCTGTTTAACCTTTCGTATCCTCATAGGTAAGACTACAGCCTTCAGTATGCGTTACACCTCAACATAAAGAAAACAAAAATCTTCACAACTGGACCAATAAGCGACATCATGATAAACAGAGAAAAAATGGAAGTTGTCAAAGACTTCATTTTACTTGGATCCACAATCAACATCCATGGAGACAGCAGTCAAGAAATCAAATGGCGCATTGCATTGGGCAGATCTGCTGCAAGAGACCTCTTTAAAGTGTTAAAAAGCAAAGATGTCTCCTCGAAGACTAAGGTGCACCTGACCCAAGCCGTGGTGTTTTCAATTGCCTCGTATGCTTGAGGAAGCTGGACAATGAATAAGACCGAAGAATAGTTGACGCCTTTGAATTGTGCTGTTGGCGAAGAATATTGAATATACCATGGACTGCCAAAAGAATAAATCTGTCTTGGGAGAAGTACAGCCAGAATGCTCCTTAGAAGCAAAGATGGCAAGACTTCGTCTCACATATTTTGGACAAGTTATTAGGAGGGACCAGTCCCTGGAGAAGGACACCATGCTTGGTAAAATTGAGGTTCAGTGAAAAAGAGGAAGACCTTCAACAAGATGGAATGACACAGCAGCAAAAGGCTCAAGCATAACAATAATCATGAAGATGGTGCAAGACCGGGCAATGTTTTGTTCTGGTGTACATAGGGTCACTATGAGTTGGAAGCGACTCGACGGCACCTAACAGTAACAGATGAGGTGTGTCCCTTCTAAGTATCTTTAGTTGGGTTTCTGTTTTTTATTCACTCCCTTCTAATTGAAGTATTAGACCATTTACATATAAAAGTATTAGTTACATGTTTTCATTTAAATCCACCATTTTCTTATTTGGTTTCTATTTTCATTACCTGTTTTATGTTCCTTTTTTCTCCTTTCCTGTCTTTTTTTAGATTAAGCATATTTTATTACTCCATTTCCCTTCTCTGTCAGTTTGTTGTACTGTGGTGGCTTGCAAGTTGCTGTGATGCTGGAAGCTATACTATTGGTATTTCAAATACCAGCAGGATCACCCATGGTAGACAGGTTTCAGTGGAGCTTCCAGACTAAGGCAGACTAGGAAGAAGGACCTGGCGGTCTGCTTCTGAAAAAATTTGCCAGTGAAAACGTTATGAACAGCAGAGGAACATTGTCTGGTATGATGCCAGAAGATGAACACCTCAGGTTGGAAAGGCACTCAAAGTATGACTGGGGAAGAGCTGCCTCCTCAAAATACAATTGACCTTAATGATGTGGATGGAGTCAAGCTTTCATCATTTGCTGATGTGGTATGACTCAAAATGAGAAGAAACAGCTGCAAACATCCATTAGTAATTGGAACATGGAATGTACGAAGTATGAATCTAGGAAAACTGGAAGTCGTCAAAAATGAAAGTGACTGCATAAAGATAAATATCCTAGGTGTTAATGAACTGAAATGGATTGGTATTGGCCATTTTGAATCAGACAATCATATGGTCTGCTATGCCAAGAATGACAATTGAAGAGGAATGGCAACTCATTCATTGTCAAAAGGACCATTTCAAGACCTATCCTGAAGTACTACTCTGTCAGTGATAGGATAATATCCATACGCCTACAAAGATGACCAGTTAATATGACTATTATTCAAATTTATGCACCAACTACTAATACCAAGATGAGAAAATTGAAGATTTTTAGCAACTTCTGCAGTCTGAAATTGATCAAACATGCAATCAAGATGAGTTGATTATCACTGGTGTTTGGGATACCAAAGTTGGAAACAAAGAAGGCTCAGGAGTTAGAAAATACGGCCTTGGTGATAGAAAGGATGCTGGAGATCGCATGATAGAACTTTGCAAGACTAACGGCTTCTCCATTGCAAATGCCTTTTTCAACGATATAAACGGTGACTATACACATGGACCTCGCCATACGGAATACACAGGAATCAAATCCACTACATCTGTGGAAAGAGATAATGGAGAAACTCAGTATCATCAGTCAGAACAAGGCCAGGGGACAACTGCAGAAAAGACCATCAATTGCTCATATGCAAGT